TCGTTGACCTGGGCTACCTTGGCCTAAAAATCCAATCCTGTGGCCTCCAGCCCTGCCCAGGCCATGGGTCTGTGGGTCCCTGGTGCAGCCCCCCTGCCCCTGGGCCCTGGTCTTCCCCCAACACCACACCCGCTGCCTGTTCTCCATTACTGCATGTGTCAAATGGGACTAACAGCAGAATCTACCTCCCACCCGCCGTGTGAATAAGAGATAAATCTCAAGTCCTGTGCTATTGGCAAAGCACTGGGCACAGTTGCAGGGAGGGGTCCTTGACAAGTGTGACTTTGCTCATTTTGTCATCACTAAGGCAATAAACATTTGCCAGGTGAAAGCATGAGTGAACTTACTGAGAGGATGAACTCTTAGTAAGTTACAAGGACGAACTTACAAGGATGATGTTTTCACAACCCTGTGAGGTAGGAGCCATGAAGGACTCCGTCTTACAGGTGGAACAATGGAGGCTCAGAGAGGTTCACTGACCCAAGACTGCACAGAGCCATCCTTGCATTCATATGTGGCTGCAAAGCTTGAACTTGTCCCAGTTTCAGCCAGGCGCAGTGGCTCGCACGCGTAATCCCAGCACTTTGGAAGGCCGAGGTGAGCAGATCACCTGACGTCAGGAGTTCAAGACCAGCCTTGCCAACATGGTGAAACCCTATCTCTACTAAAAATACAAAAATTAACTGAGCGTGGTGGTGGGCACCTGTAATGCTAGCTACTCGGGAGGCTGACGCAGGAGAAATCCCTTGAACTTGGGAGGTGGAGTTTGCAGTGAGCTGAGACTGTGCCTTTGCACTCCAGCCTGGGCAACCGGAGCAAGACTCCTTCTAAAAAAAAAAAATTAAATTAGCTAGTGTCATGGTGCATGCCTGTATTCCCAGATGGCTGCAGTGAGCTATGATTACAGTGATGTACTCCAGCCTCAGCAACAGAGCAAGACACTGTCTTTATTTTTTTCTTTCTTTCTTTTTTTTTGAGATGGAGTCTTGCTCTATCACTCAGACTGGAGTGCAGTGGCATGGTCTCGGCTCACTGCAACCTCCACCTCCCAGGTTCAAGCAATTCTCTGCCTCAGCTTCCCCAGTAGCTGGGATTACAGGCACCCACCAGCACACCCGGCTAATTTTTGTATTTTTTAGTAGAGATGAAGTTTCACCATCTTGGCAAGGCTAGTCTTGAACTCCTGACCTCGTGATCCACCTGCCTCAGCCTCCCAAAGTGCTGGGATTACAGGCATGAGCCACTGTGCCTGGCTGAGACCCTGTCTTTCTAATAACAATAATTATTATTATTATTCTAACTTTCTAATATGGACACCCACTCCATGTTCAGCCGCTCAAAGAGAAGCCAGTCCAGGAGAGACGGGGGAGACTGGTGAAGTCAGCCCTGGGCCACAGAAAAGAGGGGAACTCAGGGGTGGAATGGGTATTGCAGTAGGAGCCAAGAAGGTGGAAGAGGGTCGGTCTCAGCGGATTTTGATGGCAAGCACTGCACAGAGGGATCTAAGCTGTGATGGGGGAACTCCAGGCACAGAATACCTACCCAGCTGGAGAACAGAGCATCAGGAATTCCCAGGAGAGCAGTAATCAAAGCAAGACTATCGGCCGGGTGCTGTGGCTCACGCCTGTAATCCCAGAGCTTTGGGAGGCTGAGATGGGCAGATCACTTGAAGTAAGGAGTTCGAGACCAGCCTGGCCAACATGGTGAAACCCTATTTCTACTAAAAATGCAAACATTAGCTGGGCGTGATGTGCACACCTGTAGTCCTAGCTACTCCTGAGGCTGAGGCAGGAGAATTGCTTGAGCTGGGGAGGTGGGGGTTGCAGTGAGTCAAGATTGTGCCACTGCACTCCAGCCTGGGTGACAGAACAAGACTCTGACTCACACACATACAGAGAGCAAGACTGGTCAGCAGAGCCTTCTGCAGAATCTATTCTCCCTTCTGTGACATCTTGGGAAGCTGAGCATAGCTGGAAAAAATTCCCAAGCTGCAACCAGGTCTCAAGGACCTTTTTATTGCTCAATGATTACACAAAAGCATTTAACAATCTCTCAAATGGCCCTGGTGCTTCCCATCTCTCATTTTCCTTTTCTTTTTTTGAAGATGGGGTCTCACTATGTTGGGGCTGGTCTCGACCAGCTGGGTGCCTGCAATACTCCAACTTCGGCTTTCCCCCAGTAGCTGAGAATACAGACACGCACCACTGCACCCCAGAATCTGATTCTTGAAGGTGTTGTTTTGCGACAGGGTTTCACTCTGGTGCCCCAGACTGGAATGCAGTGGTATGATAGCACACTGCAGCCCTGGATTCCTGGACTCAAATCATCATCCTGTGTCAGCCTCCCAATGTGCTGAGATTACAGGTGTGAGCCACTGTGCATGCCCCCGTGGGCCATTATCATATGGTAACCAATTTAGCATATGCTAACCGATATCATCTCCTGTCTAGGTACAGCCATCTTCAGACTACAGACCTCAGTCATGTTTGCCCCACCTGCTGCTCACCCCTACATCCTGTTGACTCTTTTACAACATTTCTTAAGTCTAGTCCCTCCTCTGCCTTCCTTCCTTGGGTCCCTGTTCCTTCTGCCACCTCACCCCATTCTTCCCCTACATTGCACTAGCCTCCCTTGCACGCACACACACACACACACACAAACACACACCTCCTCACCCTGCATCAAAATGATCTTTGTTTTTTAAAAGCAAATAAGTTTTTTTTTTTGTGGTGGTGGTGGTTTTGTTTTGAGACAGAGTTTTGCTCTTGTTGCCCAGGCTGGAGTACAATGGCACAATCTCAGCTCACAGCAACCTCTTCCTTACAGTTTCAAGCTATTCTGCCTCAGCCTCCCAAGTAGGTGGGATTGCAGGCATGTGCCACCATGTCTGGCTAATTTTTGTATTTTTAGTAGAGATGGGGTTTCACCACATTGGTCAGGCTGGTCTGGAACTTCTGACCTCGTGATCTGCCCATCTCAGCCTCCCAAAGTGCTGGGATTACAGGCGTGAGCCACCGTGCCAGGCCTACAACATTTCTTAAGTCTGGTCCCTCCTTTCCCTTCCTTCCTTGGGTTCCTGACCCTTCTGCCACTTCACCGCATCCTTCCCCTACATTGCACTAGCCTCCCCTTCACACACACATCCCTCCTCACCCTGCATCAAAATGATCTTCGTTTTTTAAAGCAAATGAGTTTTTAACTGAATAATAATTGAAAGAAAAAATGTTAATTTATTTACATTTGTTTTGTTTTATTTTGTCTTGAGACATGGTCTTGCTCTGTACCCCAGGATAGAATGCAGTGTCATGAACATAGCTCACTGAAGCCTCTAAATCCTGGTCTCAAGTGATCCTCCCACCTCAGGCTCCCAGGTAGCTGGGACTAAAGGCACATACCACCATGCCCAACTAATCTTTTTAATTTTTGTAAAGATGGAGTCCTGCTGTATTGTCCAGGCTGGTCTCAAACCCCTGGCCTCAGCCTCCCCTCAGTCTCCCAAAATGCTGGGATTACAGGCTTGAGACACCACACCTGGACCAAAAAAAAATTCAAAAAACACAAAAGTGAAAAGTCAGTCTCTCTCCCACTCAAACATCCCTGTTCCTCTCCCTAGTTTCTAAATATCTCCTTCTAAAGGTATTATCTGCATAGAAAAGCCCATGGGGGGGCAGATAAAGTAGCTCACACCTGAAATCCCAACACTTTGGAGGCTGAGGCGGGTAGATCACTTGAGCCCAGGAGTTTTAGACCATCCTGGGCAATGTGATGAAACCCCATCTCTACAAAAAATACAAAAATTAGCTTGGTGTGGTAGCTACTAGGGGGGCTGAGGCAGGAGGATGACCTGAGCCCAGGGAGGTAGAGGCTGCAGTGAGCTGTGATCACCAGACCACTGCACTCCAGCCTGAGCAACAGACTGTGACTGTGTCTCAAAAAAAACAAAAACCCTGATGCAGTGGCTCATGCCTGTAATCCCAGTACTTTGGAAGCACAAGGCAGGTGGATCACTGAGGCCAGGAGTTCAAGACCAGCCTAGCCAACATGGCAAAAGCCCATCTCTACCAAAAATACAAAACAATTAGCCAAGCATGGTGGTGCATGTCTGTAGTCCCAGCTACTCCAGAGTAGAACTGCTTGAACCCAGGAGGCGGAGGATGCAATGACCCAAGATCATGTCACTGCACTGCAGCCTGGGGGACAGAAGTGAGACTCTTTCAAAAACAAAACAAAACAAAAGTGCATAGGTACAACTTGCTTTACAGATGGAAATACATTGCACATAAGACCCACAGTTGCCTAGCACTCACAGTGGAGCCAAGATCGCGCCACTGCGCTGCAGTCTGGAGACAGAGCAAGACACCGTCTAAAAAAAAAAAAAAAAAATTAAAAATTAGCTAGGCACGGTGGCGCACGCCAGTAATCCCAGCTACTCCAGAGGCTGAAATGGAAGGATCTGAGCCCAGGAGGTCAAGCCTGTAGCGAGCTGTGATCACACTCCTGCGCTCCAGACTGGGCGATAGAGCAAGACCCTGTCTCAATACTATAAAAAATAAAGGAGAACCGCTGTTTATCGACTGTCCAAGGATGGTGTTGGGACAGGACTAGAGGGGATGAAAGTGCCCATTTTAAAGACTAGGACAGCGAGACCATCCCGAATCTCTGTGCACGGACTCTGCAGAAGTGCACTCATTGCTCTGGGCTAGCAAGGATGCACCAGCAACCAAGCCGCGCTCTAGGACGATTCCGACCTCAGACCCCGCCCCGTCTCCAGAGCCCAGCGCAGGCCCCGCCCCCAATCTCGCGATAGCTGAGAGGCGGAAAATGGCGCTGATGTGAGCCCAAGCTCGCACTGCCCAGAGGGTGGCCGCTGCCTAAGCTGGAGCCGCTGGAGCCGCTGGAGCCGCAGGAACAAGAGGCCGAGCTGTATCGAAGATGGTGAGCGCGGCGCCGGGGTCGCGGGCACGGCGGAGAGGCGGGGGCTGGCGGGGAGCAGCCCTGTCGTGCATACACCCTCCGGCCGACCCCGCCCCCACATCCGGGCACCCGTCCGCCGCTGGCTGTCAATCGGAGAGGGTCCCCAGCCCGGCCTGTAGTGGACCACGCCCACTAGGCTAGGTCTCCACCCCTGAGCTTCATACATCCGGGCCCCCTGCACTTCCAAGATTGTCCACACTGCTCGAGGTCGGCCGGTGTTTGTCGATCCTCAAATAATCCTTGACTGGCTCCTTCTAGCATCGTCCCAGTCACGCCCTGCCCATAGCCCCGCCTCCGTTCATTTCCCCGCCCACTCGCTCTAGGCCACGCCTCTGTCGCATACTGGGGCTCCCACTTACCCTAGTTTAAGAGAGGAGGTGCTTCTCCTATGTGCATAAGGAGCTCAGTCCGGGCCAGTGCAGTGACTCATGACTGTAATTCCAGTACTTTGGGAGGCTGAGGCAATATGGCGAGATCCCATCTTTATAAAAAGTAGTCCACCCTTACTTATACCCCTGTCTTCTTCTGCTGGTGATTCCTTAGGATGGGGCCAACTGGGTGGACCCAGATCCGAGAAGGGTTCTCTCTCCTTTCCACCAGGAGGAGAAACCTTCAGGGCCCAGCCCGGACATGCAGGCTACTGCAGAGCCCAGCTCCAGTGAGACCGACAAGGAGGTGTTGTCCCCGGCTGTGCCAGCTGCAGCCACCTCCTCCTCCATGGTGGAGGAGCCAGGCCCTGAGCAGGCAGCCACACCACTAGTGTGGGAACGTGGAGGGCCTGGAGGGACTCAGCAGGGCTCCTCCCCAGCAACAGACAGCTGCCAGCCTGGGCCGGGACCCAGCCCGGGCCTGACGAGCATAGTCTCCGGGACCAGCGAGGACCTGCGGCCTCCCAGACGACGCCCACCTTCAGGTGATCTGTGATGGGGCCTTCTGGGGAGTCACAGGCCCTGGAACAATAGAAGGGAAGAGTAGAGAATCTCTAACCCCGGGGGCCTTTATAGAGGAATGCCACTCATCATTTTACTGAGCAGCCAGTGGATGCCAGCCTATGGCTTCAGTGTTGAGCCCGGCCAATCCAGCCCCTGCACTGTGGCAGATCAGTCTCTTGTGGGAGGCAGAGAGTACAGGCCCTAGCATCATATTTGCTTCTCTGGGGCAGAGCCCTGGGGTCAGGGACAGCACTAGTGAGGAAGGGACCAGTGACCCCCGTTCTGTGCGTCCTGCAGGGAAGCAAATCCCCTGCTCCAGCCCTGGCTGCTGCCTCAGTTTCCCCAGCATCCGTGACCTGGCACAGCATCTGCGAACCCACTGCCCGCCCACACAGTCCCTGGAAGGTAGGGCCAGGGCCGGTCATGGGGAGGCAGGTTAGGGTGGGAAACAGGCGGAGCCCTTCGGAGCCAGCCTTGGCCACCTCTCTCCACTCCTCTGTCCTTCATCCCTACCAGGCAAGCTCTTCCGCTGCTCGGCCCTGAGCTGCACCGAGACCTTCCCTAGCATGCAGGAGCTGATGACTCACAGCAAACTGCATTACAAGCCCAATCGCTACTTCAAGTGAGACCCTGACCTCTTGAGCTCCGCCCTGCCCTAGCCTCACCCTGTGTGTGGGTTCCAGGCCTGTCTCCTTTCCTGGTCAGGATGTTGGAGGGCGGGACTTGATGTGGGCAAGGCTTTGGACAAGTCCCGCCCTTGCCTCCCTGGATGGGCGGGGCATATGTGGGCGTGGCTCCACCTAACCCGGCTTTATTTCCCAAGTGGAAAACCGGCCACCTAACTTAAAATTGAGACTTCTTTCTAGGTTTCCCCAGGGTTCCCACCTGAAGTGGTCAGGAAGGGTCGCTGCCACAGTTGTCCGGGAGCTGGGAGGCAACTGGGGCCCAGGCTCCGTTCCCACGCTCGCAGGGCGGGTGGCATGGCACAGGCCCCAATCCCTGGTCGTCCTGGAGGCCCAGCCCGGCCCTCTGCCCGCCCCCAGGTGTGAGAACTGCCTCCTGCGCTTCCGCACGCACCGCTCGCTCTTCAAGCACCTGCATGTTTGCGCAGAGCATGCGCAGAGTCCAGCCCCGCCGCCACCCCCGGCCTTGGACCGGGAGCCACCCGCGCCCGAGCGCCCCCCAGAGGCCGACCCCGCGTCAGCGCCGGGCCTGCAGTTCCCGCTGCTCGAGCCTTTCACGACCCCTGCCCCTGCCCCCTCCGGGCCCTTCCTGCCTTACTTGAACCCTGCGCCCTTTGGCCTAAGCCCCCCGCGCCTGCGGCCCTTCCTGGCCGCGGCGCCCGGGCCGCCGGCTTCTAGCGCCGCCATCTGGAAAAAGAGCCAAGGTGAGTGTGGAGCGGGGCCTCCAGGAGGGCGGGCTGGGCTCGCCCTGACTCTGAACTTGACCCTCCCCTTTACCGCAGGTGCTGGCAGCAGCCCTCGAAGACCCCAGGGCGGCTCCGACGCGCCCTCAGGTGCGTGCAGGTGACCACCAGGGAGGGGTGGAAGGGCTTTCTTTCCTGCGCCCTGCGGGGTGAGGTGGATACCGGGAGGCAGCAGTGCCCATCCCCTTCCCAGGGGTACAGAAATGCCACCGTCCCGAAATACAGGATTTTTGCCTTAAATATGACTGGCACCTGCGCCTTCATCTGCGCCGGCGTTCCCGTGTAAACCTCGTGCCCCGTTCACCGTTCACCTCGAAGCGGGCTTCTCCCCGGCGGTGGATCCGGGAATGGGAATAGGGGACGCGGAGAAGCGAAGTTGGGTTTCCCCAACTCTAGGGGCAGACAGACCCCGGAGAGACGGATCCAGGCGCCTGGAAGCTGATGGGGGCGGGGAAAGGTCCCACCCACCCTTGCCCGTGTCCTCCATCCTTGGCGTACGGGTCCTCTGGGTTGGGGACTGACAGGGTCCCACCTGCCTGCAGGGCACGCGGCCCCGAGCCGCATCGTGTGGGAGCACACGCGCGGCCGCTACTCGTGCATGCAGTGCGCCTTCTCCACGGCCTCGCGGCCCGCCATGACCCTGCACCTGGAGGACCACCGCCCCGGCACCCCCGCGGCCCCCGCGCCCGGGCCGCCACGCCCCGACGCCCCGGCGGCGGGTAAGGCCGAGGAATGCTTGGGTGGAGACGGGGGCAGGGGCCCAAGGCGCTGAGGCTCAGCCTCCCCACTCCTCTGCCCACCCAGATCCAGCCCCACTTGCACCCAAGGTGTCGCCGTTGCTGTCAGAGGGGGAGCTTCCAGTGTTCTCGCAGCTCTGAATCCCAACACTTTGGGGTTGGGCCATGGGGTGTGGGTAGTTTTGTCGTTAGGAGGGGGCTGCAGGGAAGGGGGGTTGAGGTGGACAATAAAGAAGGCACCATGAGCCAGCCTGTGCTGTGTCCCCGTCCCTTACCCCTCCGAAACGCAGTGGGCCACAGCCCAGCAGTCATGGAGAGATCATGTTTCATGAGGACCACCTGGATCCGCAGGTCCAAGCCTCACACCCCACCTGTGTGCTGTCTCCCTATCACCCCAATACTGGGGCCCAGGTCCCCACTTCCAGCTGTAGTTGAGGTCTCCAGGACCCAATGTCCTGTTCTCCCTTGTCCAGAAACCAAACGGGATGGGACTCTCCGGTTTTAAGAAGTCCTGGCTGGGCACACTGGCTCACACCTGTAATCCCAGCACTTTGGGAGGCAGAGGCAGGTGGAGCACCTGAGGTCAGGAATTTGAGACCAACCTGACTAACATGGTGAAACCCCATCTCTACTAAATACAAAGAATTAGCTAGGCATGGTGGCTGGCACCTGTAATCCCAGCTCAGGTGAGCCTCGGATTCCCAAAGTGCTGAGATTACAGGCATGAGCCACCGCACCTGGCTTCCTTGGACTTTCCATCCCCCAACGTGTCCACCTCAGGCTCTGAGTCGAAGCCATCCAGGTACAGAAGCCCAGGGCCACATCACCTCAAAGATGGACAGCTCTGGGCTCTAGAGGCCCTTCAGCTACTTCAAGGGACAGGAGGGGATCCTCAGGCCCTTAGAACCGATCTGTCTGCCCCACTGCCCACAGCCTCACCGGGGACCTGAAGACTGCCCTGTCCTTGATGGGGCTGCAGCCTCAGCTCACATGGCTTGGGTTGGGTGTCCACCCTCCCAGCACCCCTGGGCCCCAGCTGAGGTGGTTGTCACTCAGGATGGGGCGGGACATGCCATTGGGAGGCCCCAGTGCTCCAAGGCCACCTAAGCTCCCCCTTCTTAGTCAGAAGCCTTGAAACTACAACTGTGGGACCCTGGAGAAGACTTGACCCCCCTGCCTTCCAATTCCCTCATCCTTAAGGGTGTCATGATGACGAGTGAGCCCTTTGGTGTGGATAGGAGGATGAAAAGCTGACCTTGGGGAGAGGCTTGGGAAATGTCTGCTGAGTACTTCGCATTCCTCTGGTCACCGAGCCCATGGCTGCCTGGGACCCTCTCTACCTGGGGAGGAGGATAGGACTGAGTCAAGGGCCCCCCCCCCCCTTTTTTTTTTCTTTTTTAGTAGACCGGATCTCACTCTTGCCCAGGCAGGGCTCACTACAACCTCCACCTTCCTGGTTCAAGCGATTATCCTTAGCCTCCCAAGTAGCTGGGACTACAGGCACCCACCACCACTCCTGGCTAATTTTTGTAAATTTAGTAGAGACGGGGTTTCACCATGTTGGCCAGGCTGGTCTCGAACTCCTGACCTTGCGATTCACCCACCTCGGTCTCCCAAAGTTCTAGGATTACAGGCATGAGCCACCATGCCTGGCCCACTATGCCTGGCCCAAAGGGCCCATTTTACTGGTAGAGAAAGTAAGGCTAGGAGGTTCCTAGCCAGCCCCAGTTCCAAGTCAGAGGCACTGATTCTGCACAATCTTGGGAGAAGGGCACAGTTACCATGGGATGAAAAAACCCTGGCAGCAGGTCCAGAGGACACTCCCCTGTTCCCATGCTCTGAAGTTCCCTAGATCTGGCTGTAGTGCAAGCCCCCTCTCCATCTCCAGGGACAGCACTGTGTTCTCTGTCCCCCAGGCCCCTAACCCCTGTCAGGGGCCTGGGGGCCCCCAGGAGTCTTCATTCCCCATCAATTTCCTCATTCGGCCACCCCCAGAACTAAGCCATGCTACTTCCCAGTCTCTGTCACCATCTGTCTAGAGAGATCCAGAGTCAACAAGCACCTCGGTCCAGGGACCTCTCCTCGACCCCATCACCCACGGAGATTGGGCAGCCCTTCCTGTGTGTACAGCGGGTCCACGGCCACCACTCTGCCCTCTGGGGTAAACTGACTCTGCCCCAAGGCCTGGGAAACTAGGTCACCACCTGGCATCTGCCATTCACCTTGTCCACTCCAGAAACTCTCCCACCCTCAAGCCGGTCCCCAACCCCTATGCGCTGGAGGCCAGTCCTATTGGGCCCCGGCTCCGCCCAGCAAGGGGCGCCCAGGAGAGCCGGGAGTGCAGCGCCGATCGTGGTCCGGTTGGCAGGAAGCCGCCAGCTGGCGCCAAACAGCTCTGAGGCCGGCCAGAGTCCTGTGCACCGCCCGGCATTTGTCCAGCCCCAGCTGTCACCTGCAGGTGCTAGTCCACTCTCGCTCACCGCGGACCGGGAGCCGGAAGATGGAGCACACCCCGCGGCCCTGGCATCCGCCGCCCACGTGCTCCCATCCGCCACCTTGAGCACCCATGTTCCCATTCCCAACCCCGCAAAGTGCCCGAGCCGCGCCCTAACGAACTCCCACTTCCCCCTGGTCCGCGCTGGCTTCTCCGGGATTCCGGAGCTGTCGGTCCCTGTCTGCAGCCGCGCCGCGAGGACCCTTGCCAGGAGCTCCCACGGAGGCGCCAAATACGCAAGCAAGACTGGGGGGAACTCATACCATGACGACCACGCCGGGACCTGCACGTCACCCCCACAGCGCCCCCGCGGGGTCTTGGTGCGAGCGCCCTGGCTGGACCCTCGTAGCTACCAGAGTGCACGGGTAGCGACCGGCGCAGGCACCTGGGGATTCATCAGCTGTCATCCAATCCTTCAATTACCTTGACTGAGCGTCTACTGTATACTCATAGCCAAGAATTGCTTGTTTTTCTTTTCATTATTATTATTTTAAAAAAAAATTTTTTTTTAAGATGGGGTTTCACCATATTGGTCAGGCTGATCTCGAACTCCTGACCTCAGGTAATCCACCCACCTCAGCCTCCCAAAGTGCTGGGATTACAGGCGTGAGCCACTGCGCCCGGCTTTTTTTTTTTTTTTTTTTTAGACGGTGTCTGGCTGTGTCACTCAGGCTGGAGTGCAATGGTGCAATCTCTGCTCACAGCAACCTCCGCCTCCCCGGTTCAAGCGGTTCTCCTGCTTCCCCCTCCCAAGTAGCTGGGATTACAGGCGCACACCATCACGCCCAGTTAATTTTTGTATTTTTAGTAGAGACGAGGTTTCACCATGTCGGCCAGCTGGTAGCAAACTCGTGACCTCAAGTGATCCGCCCGCCTTGGCCTCCCAAAGTGCTGGGATTACAGGCATGAGCCACCATGTTCCCCCTGGCTGACCTTTCTTGAATTTATTTAACTAAATGAGAAGGACCCAGATGGAGCTGGGAGGGAGACTCATTTGTTTTGAGGACTTTGCTCTTCCGCAGGCCCTTCCTGCATCTGCTCTGCTGCAGTGGGATACATGACACGATGAGAAGTGCTCTGCCCATTTGTTTTCAAGCCTCCGTTAAGAGCACAGGCGTCAGGATTCTGCCAAGATGGCGCCATTGCATTCCATCCTGGTGACAGAGCGAGACTCCATCTCAAAGAAAAAGAAAACGACCAGGCTGGGTGACTGGGTGCAGTGGCTCGTTCCTGTAATTCCAGCACTTTGGGAGGCCAAGGCTGTGGATCACCTGATGTCAGGAGTTCAAGACCAGCCTGACCAATATGGTGAAACCCCATCTCTACTAAAAATACAAAAATTGGCTGGGCGTGGTGGCAGGTGCCTGTAATCCCAGCTACTCAAGAGGTTGAGGCAGAAGAATCGTTTGAACCCGGGAGGTGGAGGTTGCAGTGAGCGAAGATTGCACCACTGCAATCCAGCCTGGGTGACAGAGCAAGACTCTATCAAAAAAGAAGAGAGAAAGAAAGGGAGGGAGAGGAGAGGGGAGGAGAAGAGAGGAGAGGAGGAGAAGAGAAGGAAAGGAAAGAAAGCAAGTTCAACCACTTCGTTTCCGAGTCTTTTTTTTTTTTTTTTTTTTTTAAGAGACAGGGTCTCATTCTGTTGTCCAAGCTGGAGGGCAGTTGTCACAATCATACACTCACTGCAGCGTTCTAATTCCCAGGCTCAATTGATCCTACTACCTCAGCCTCCCTAGTAGCTGGGACTACAGGCACACACCATCCCACCCAGCTCGTGTGTGTGTGTGTGTGTGTGTGTGTGCTAGAAACAGAAGCTCACTATGTTGCCCAGGCTGGTCTGGAATTCCTGGGCTCAAGCGATCACCCATCTTGGCCTCCCAAAATGCCAGGATTACAGTTGTGAGCCACCTTGCCCAGCCTTCTCTTCATTATTCCTGCTCCAAGTGTGGTCCACAGAAGGACAGCATTGGCATCACCTGGGACCTGACTCATCACTTGGGTCAGAACCTGCACATTAACAGCAGCTCGGAGTGACTCAGGGGAACCGGGGATTCTCACCTTAGCTGTGTATGAGAATCACCAGCCTTTTTTTTTTTTTTTTGAGACGGAGTTTCACTCTTGTTACCCAGGCTGGAGTGCAATGGTGCAATCTCGCCTCACCGCAACCTCCGCCTCCTGGGTTCAGGCAATTCTCCTGCCTCAGCCTCCCTAGTAGCTGGGATTACAGGCACATGCAGCCATGCCTAGCTAAGTTTTTGTATTTTTAGTAGAGACGGGGTTTCACCATGTTGACCAGGATGGTCTCAATCTCTTGACCTCATGATCCACCCGCCTTGGCCTCCCAAAGTGCTGGGATTACAGGCTTGAGCCATCGCGCCCGGCCCGCCTTTTTTTTTTTTTTTTTTTTTTTTTTTTTAGATGGAGTCTCTCTGTCACCAGATCGGAGTGCAGTGGCGCGATCTCGGATCACTGCAACCTCTGCCTCCCGGGTTCAGCCGATTCTCCTGCCTCAGCCTCCGGAGTAGCTGGGATTACAGGCACCCAGCATCACGCCTGGCTAAATTCTACATTTTTAGTGGAGACGTGGTTTCACCATGTTGGCCAGGCTGATCTCAACCTTCTGGCCTCAAGGGATCTGCCCACCTCGACCTCCCAAAGTGTTAGGATGACAGGCTTGAGCCACTGCGCCCGGCCTTCCATCTCTTTTCTGATTCTTCCTTAGCTCCAAAATTTCTAGGGTTCGGCTGCATTCACTCCT